TTATCACCGAGAACAAGCAAGACAAAAAAGTATGAAAACTTGCATTAATGCCGTTGAGTATATATAGTTAAGATAAGTTTTTTTTTTTTTTTTTTTTTGCTGTGTAAACTCGGCTTTAAAAGCGACTTAAAACTAGTACTTAAAACTAAAAAAAAACCGGAATTAAAAAAAAGATCGGTCATTGCATACCGGTTTGTAGCTGAGCCACAATCGAGCTGATTTTACGGCATAAGCTGACTAAATTATTGTTTCTTATAACGTACTATATTTTCATTAAAAAGTCGTATGCCGTCAACACTCGTAGCCCGTAGCTAGATTGCTTTTTGCCTTGTGGCTGTACTTATTTCCCAGTCTTTTTAAGCTAAGCTATTTTCAAATAAGCAAAGCGCCTTTATTATTTTTTTAGTAAGTTGGTAATTATGGCGGATATGTTTTGAAAAAAAACTGTTCCAAATGCTATTGATTCACATTCATAACATTAAACGTTGCGAAAAAAGTTGTTTACAAGACGAAATGGTTTGAATATCTCACCAGTTTAATTTCGTAGTTAAACTTTTTGCTTGAAAATGACCTAATATAAATGTTTTTATGTCATATTTTAAAATGGATCATGGTTTTGACAAAACTTTTGTAGCTTTAAGGTATATTTTAACTATGTTTTCGCAGACTATACTTATAATAAAAATAACTAGCTTTTTATTTGGCGGGATAGCTCAGATGGTTAGAGCGTTAAAGGAAAAGTTAAAACCCGGACAGTTGAACGATACGAGTTCAAATCCCGCCACCGCCAACTCAGCGCTTGAGTAGTACTTCGGTACGCAAAAATGTTGGTCAATAACGGACGCTACTTTGGATTAGTCATTATGACTATTTGTGGCTGTTCCTATGCTAAGCCAACAATATCTTCGGATAAAAGAACATTGTATAGAAAAATATAGCATGAAAACTCAAATAGATAAATAAAATATATATATATATATATATATATATATATATATATATATATATATATATATAATTGTAACTAGTTTACTTATATATACAACTGTTTCTGTGCTTATTGTTTTAAAATTCTTATAACATTTGACTAAAACATTATTATTTCATTAAACAGGTTAATACTATAAATAATAGTTTTGCCACAGAGTTATATAAACAATATTTATTGTTTTTGCTATAAATATAAATAATTAAAATATTAGATTTTTATTTCTTCAAATATAATTTTAATCTTCAAATTGAAGCTTTAATTAAAGTCGATCTTATAAGTTGATTCTATTGTTAATTAGAATCAAATATAATACAATATTGGAGACTATAATATAAGAGAGTCCTCAAGAAAGAGTTGAAGGAAATATTTTTA